TCTCCAGCTTCGTATCACGGTCGCCGGCGATTGGCCCTCGAAATAACTCGAAAAGTTCGCCGCTTCCTCGCGTTAAGATTCCTCTACGGAGTTGGAGTTCGCTGGTCTCCAATGAGGGAATCCATTGAGCGCCAATCGAGCCTTCCAAGCGACTTCGGATACTAGCCACGTGACTCGTGTCTCCATCCGCGCTCGCAGCTCATTCGCCGGTATCGTTCCTTTATATTGTCGGTGGACTTGAGCTAATTGTAAGGTCCGAATCGAATCGGGAGGATTTGCGATCTCGCTATCCGGGGTTCGAGGATCTAGGGTTATTTGCTCCAGTGTAATCTTTGGTCTGCTTCTGTAGCTTCAGTTTTCGGGCGCTTCGGGCTTTTCTCGAATCGAACGTTTGGTGTCGCTCGTTCGGTTATCTCATCCGAACGGAGAAAAAACGTTATTTCCCCCCTGTTATCTCGCGGTCTGTGAGTCAAGCTCTGCAAGATTGTCTCTATCACCTTCGTCCGCTCGGTCCTCACTCCCGCACCGGCTTGCTCGCTTGTTCTTCAAGCGGCGGTAGCTTCTTTTTTTCTCTGAACAGGACTCCGTCGCGGTTGTGGTCGCCGCGCCGTCGAAAACGTTGAAAAAAAAGGTGTCTCCGATCCTGTGTTCGGTGTTTGTGGTGGTTCCTTTGCAAATTCGCCTATCTTATCGTCCCTTCGCTGGCTGGCAGGCAGGCGGGCAGGCAAGCCGCTCGCTTGGTCGACTGGTTAACTCGGACTAACGCGGGCCTCTAAACGGCGGACGCCTCGATTTTTCTCCTCGCTTCAAACATGTTCAATCGATCGGTCGGTCGTTCCCTGATCCATCCGAATGGCCGAAAAACGAGAAACACTTCTAGTGTTTCGTCATTATTTGTCAGCGGTCGATGACACCTGAGAAACGCGAGCATTGAATATTAGATGAGTTTAGCGAGATTTTCGAACCTCGCCCCCAGGCATCAGAGAGCACCATCTCCGCTCTCCCGGAACGATGAAACGGGAAACGGGCTATCGGGAGAACCCATCCAGGACTCCGGCATGTTTTTGCGAGTGTTCGGAGTTGGGAAATACTCGTCGAGTCCTGTCTGTCGTCAGAAGCAATTAACACACTGGGTAAGACTGGGTGTAAGCGCGCCGACTGATTGACGGACTGGGCCGCGGACTGACTCTGATACGCTTTTCTTTGCCGGACATCGCTGCCGTCCTGGCATGACAATAGATCTCGCTGCCCCTGTCACAAGAGTGATCAGCGGGACCGCGGGATAAAGTCGCGTCGTGATGAAGATATCGCAGAAGAGCGGCCCCGTCGTTTGGAAATCGTAGAAAAAGGATAGCTGTGGTAAAGGCAGCCACGACAGCATCGGCAGCATCAACAGTGAACACCGGCATGGGCCCAAGCCCTTTTGCAGTCTAGTCGCAGGCCAAGCCGCTCCTCGCAGGAGACAAGCGTTCCTTTTTCCTTGCCCTCCTTCGACGAAGCGGAACTTTCGTTCGGCTGACAAGAAGCGGCGCCAGCAACGTCCGGGTGAACGGAGGAGGGACGGCGAGCTTGGTGGAAGAAGCAGTCGACAGGGAGGGGGCAGTGGAGTGGCGGAACCCTCCCCTTCATCTTACCCTCACTGGTCTCTCCCTTCTTATCTTGGTCGGTTCTCTCCGCCTCTGGGGACTGGATGCTTTTAGCTAAATTCAACACTCGCTAATGCTACGCCTGCGTCCCCCACCTTCGGAGCTCCCGACTAGGAAGGATGGGGCTCAGCTGCCCCTCCCCCCCTCGATCCTCTGCCCAACGGTAGAGAGAGAGTGAAGGCGAAGAGGGAACGGATGGCAGCAGACGGGCAGCTTCGCCAACGGGGTGGCTGACTAGTAGTGGAGGCTTCACTCGGTGTGCAGTTTGGCGGGTGAGTGGGTGGGCTGCTCGCTTGCCTGCCTGCTTGCCGGCTCGATTCTGGCCGAGACCATTCGGGGCGGGAGCGGGACGGGCTCCTCCACAGACGACGCAAGGGGAGGGCGTGGAGAGGAAAGCACTTTGACCGGGCGAAGAGAGAGAGGGGGCATTCGGCTACCGTGTTCATTGTTAGTGTTTCTTGAGGGCAGCGAGTGCCGGGGGAGGGGGGTGCTGAAATGCCCGCCTGATGTCGGTCCGCTGTTTGCTGCTGGCTATTGCTGGGTGGGCAAGCAAGCAAGGAAGGAAAACGGCTGACCGGCCGGCGGGCGGTCCCGGCAGCGCTCATTTCGGACGGCGACCACTTTTAGGGCCAGACATCATCTCTTTGGCCCCTTCCACCGAATAGCACCACAGCACCATGACACGACGGCACACTCATGCATGCATGCATATGTTTATCTCCGGGCAGTAGTTGTGACCGTCGTCGCCGTCGACTTCTGGTAGCAGCGTATGCATCATAATGACAATGGCTCGGCGAAGTGCTCTGAACGACCGCGGCACTGCCTGATGACTCTCTCCTTTTTTTCTCCATCCCATTCCGTCCTCTCGATCTTTGCGGACTCGTCGTTTTTCCGGACCACCAAACTCCACTCTTTAAAGTCCCCCCCTGTGAGTTTCCCTCAATCGAAAGGGGGGACGGGAAAGATCCTCAATCGAATTCCTGTTTCAACTCGATCGCCGTCGATCGCGGAGATAAACATTAGAAATTTGCACCGAGGTTTTTGGGAAAAATGAGGAATCTGACGGAAATTCTCAGTCAGACCTATCCGGTGGCACTCGATTCGAATCAACGGCCAGAACTCCAAACAGTCACGTGTCCAAACGCTCGTGGGAGTTTGGACTGACCACTCCCCGAACTCGCTCGCGCTCGACGCGAGCGGTCGACTAAACTCACGCGACGAGCGGTGATGCCAACGGGCGATGCTTCCACGGATAGATGGATGGTCGGCAGACTCGCTCAAGTAATTGATTGACTGATTGATAGATGGAGTAAGTTCAAGTCGAGCGAGCGTTTCGATGAGTTATATTTCTCAGCACCTTCGAGGGACTCGTTTCACTGAACCGCAACGGCGCACTCGGCGGCAGCAGCGGATACTATGTCAATCGAGCGACGATTTTTATCCGAACAGCTTCTTTTGCATCGATTCGTGGTGCTCGACTGCGTGCACGTGCCCCCGACGCAGAATCGAGGTCCGTCAGCCACTTCTTCTCGTGCCCACCGAACGCTCACAGGCTGCACACGCCTTCCCTCCCAAGACCATAGTCGAAAAGAGAGAGCGATTCTTCGCCTCTGTGACAGGGCGGGGAGACCTCTCGTGTCGCGAAAAACTGTTGGCGGCCGCGTCGTATCACAATAGACGAAGATCCGCGCTCGCGCCGGGTCGTGGCCCTTTCGTCGAGGCGAGCTCGGGATTTCCGGTCGGGATTTGTCTATTTTTCCGCGGTCCGGTCGAATCGTGCGCTCTTGGAATTATTGTCACCCCATGATTCGGGATTTCAAATGTACGAAGCGAATGTCCACAGGAGTACACGGGACAGTTGACCGGGTGAGGACGAGAAGTTCAGGAGACGACCGCAGCCTTTCGTGACCCGGCAATTGGTCATCTCATAGGGGTTTGCCGGTCGTACCCCAATGTCTACATACTCGCGCGTCTTTCACTGCGACGATGACATGTACTGCTGCTGCTACGACGCGGAGGCGGCGTCGAAGGCTGCCGGTGTTTGAGCTGGGGTCACGCACTTCCTACGAATACGAAGACTCCTGTCATCGACGATAGCGTGATCCTTTCGCGGTCACTGCTGCTCATTGATTGGCGACGGTCGGGTGGATGGAGTTCACTGCGTCACCGAGCCACATTGGTGCCTTCGTGCTGATTAGATAATGTGGAGCTGCTCGGCTGACTGCTCGGTCTCAGGGACCCGGTGCTTTGTTTTCGCCCCGTTCTCAGATCGGGTGAGCCTGCGCGTTTGTCTCAGTCGATCCCGAAAGAACGTCGATGACGAAGACGCACAACAGCGTTACCGCATACGGGCTGTTTGAAAGCAAGGTCGATTCGGGGATCAGGTGCCGTCCCCGGGACAGGGATGCGAGAATTTCCAACATTATTCCGAGCGAATTTGAATTGGGGCGGTTGACCGACGAATCTCGACCAGGGGGAGGCGGGATGCATCCCGTGCGACGGATGGCGAAACGGCAACGCAGGAACGAGGAGGGCCGGCTTAATCACGACCAGCAGTCCGAATCGCTGTCGCCGTGGCGGATCCGTTCAGCGATGAGTTCGCCGATGAGATGATCGCTCGTGATTATTGTGGAGCGATCGATGCGTGAATTGAATGAGTTCTTTTTTCTCCCGATCCCCCTCTGTATTCTCTCACGACTCACTCCAGCTCGAGTCGTGCTAGGAGCAGACTCAATCTCTCGGAACGCGGCACCGTGCCGGTAGACGATTCGGAAGCTACACTGGGAGAATGGATCAATCTGTATTTTCAGTCTCGAATCGAAGCTGAAAGCTTCAGATCGCTCGAGGAGTCGTTCCTCGTAATACGCTGTCGGGTCGCTCACGTTTGTCCGGTCAGACTCGGAAACGGCGCTCGATACTTTGCACCTGGAGCATGCATCTTAATTCACAAGGTCAACGCATGATCTGGGGGGGGGGCATGGTTCCGGCTGAAAACGTGGATCCAGCTGAGTTTTCGTTACGACTCGTCGATCCGCAGAGCTGTGTGACCTCACCCGCCGTCAAGCAGTCCGATCTCCTTCGAAAAACTCCCGCGGCCAAGGATCTGGGGGCTTATGATGCCGTTCATCACCGGGATCTGAGGAACAATTTCGGGAATCAGAAATCTCGCTCGATAAGAAACTCCGCACGTATCACCGAAAGACTCGACCCGGAAACTTTCTCTTGTTATCGAACACTTCTCAGGAAGCACTCCTTCGAAGACAACGTTCTTCGATTTTTTAGCTTTCGACAGGATTATCCGCGAGACTGTGACTTCCGTTTTAGACGGAGATTAACGTTTTCTATCTTTTCCAGCGGACGCAGTCCCATCGGTAGGTCCCCGCGGAAACGGGCTCCCCTCTCTCGGCGGCAACGGTGCTGGTGGCGGAGGCGGTGGGCCTGGAGGCGGCGGGGGCGGCGGCAGTGCGGGCGGCGGCTCTGTCCGGTCTCAGGGCCACAAGGGCGGCAGGGGCGGTGAACACAAGCCCACCAGGGTGCGGACCGTGCTCAATGAGAAGCAGCTCCACACCCTGAGAACCTGTTACGCGGCGAACCCGAGACCGGACGCGCTGATGAAGGAGCAGCTCGTCGAGATGACCGGATTGTCCCCGAGGGTGATCAGGGTCTGGTTCCAGAACAAGAGGTGCAAAGACAAGAAGCGCTCCATCATGATGAAGCAGATGCAGCAAAGCGAGAAGGTGAGTTGCCAGATTTGAGGCTTCCCTTGAAACGTAAAAAACGAAAGGAAACAAAAAAGAACAAAAAAAGAAGTTTCCGTATTCTCGTTCTGGTCTCAGACTTCGTGTCTTCGATCTTTCCCCCGAGAATATCTACAAGACCGGCGTACACATCAGCACTTGGTGAGCTGGCACCTCAGCGACCTGATCGTAATTCACTTGCTGTAAACCAAAGGTGTGCACGTGAACGACGGCTACAGACTAGCGGCTTTATACGCGAATTATGCAGAGCCGCCCGATCATAAATTCCTTAGGAGCTGTGGCTCACGCCGTTCGAGCTCGATGGTTGGGAAACTCACGCGCAGACACGTTACGCATCCGAAATTCCAGCAGCAGATCGGCGTCACCGAAACATAGCAAGGGGGAAAATCTTTTCAGTGTTTTTTGCGAATAGTCCTCTTCTTCAGCCCGATTCAAACGATTCAATGATATCGAAATGTCTAGATTTATCGCCCTGATCAGGAGCGTCCTCATTATGAGGGGAGGAGGCTAGTCCCGTTTTACGTCTCCGAGAGTTCTCGGTCGAGTTTCGACGGGGCGCCCGTCTGCAATGTTTCAGACTCGTGCCTGATTGACGAGAAGTCAACTTGTTGCTTCGATAGCGCCTTTTCCTGCCGCGTCTTCGCGACCTTTATTTTTCACTCCCTCTGGCTGTCTTTGTTTGGCCAAGCGTCGAGCGCTGCTTGCTTATGGAAGGCGTCATTTTTATGGCTTGCTGTCGCCTGCCTCCGACGCTGATGATGATGATGCGGTAATAGTTGAAGAAGAAAACGGTGCGACTTGATTTCTTGTTCGTCTGGTCGTCGCAGGGCGCCGCGTGGTCGTAGCCTCTCGGACGCTCTGCCACGGTCGCGAGCGTCCGTCGTTAAAACGGAGTCGTTCGACTAAACTAAAAGTCTCCTACACCGATAACAATAATTCCCTGTAGATACGTTCGAAGGAAGTAGTCGTTTCGATTGTGTGTTCATTGTTTATCTTCGCTGTTATGATTGCTCGGTGTTTGTGGACATTGCTCATTGAATCTCCTCGGAACACTCGCTAGGACGCCATTCCATTTAGTTCGACCGCGGCTACTCGTGTGTCAGCAAGCACCGAGCGGCAGGTAACAAGGGAAGATCTGACGCTACCGCCTCTGGTTCGACTCATACATTATGCTGTAACATTGACTTTGTTTACCTGGCCGTTCAAAAAACATCGTTTTAGTCCACGCTGAGAATCGAGCGGAATTTTATTCTCGAACTCAAGGAAGAACAGGGCTTCAGATATCGAGGCACTCCTTATATTCCAGCGCAGTTGTTCCATTTCTACCTGTCGAGGAAGTGGACAGACGTCTCGGAGGATATCGATAGGCTCTCTCGGCAACTCTGTCACCTCGATCCGAAAAGGCTCCGATTCGCAGCCGATATTTTTCGACTCCTTTTTTGCTTCCATGTCCTCCTCGGGTAGGTGGGTGGGTGGATGGAACAACGACCGCGCGGCGGAGACCGCCGATACATCCCTCCCGGCTTCCCTCTTGCCCTCCAAGATCCATGATACTCTTCCATGGATCTCTCTGTGACTTGCACTTAGCTAATGAGAGAAGCTGGCGCGCTCAGAGACTTGCCGCTCGCTCCCCTCTGCCTTCTCGGTCGCCCTCGGGTGCCTGCCCGCCCTCCTCTATCTCCTATAGCGACTTCTCGTCCTGATTCTGAACATAAGATATTCTCGGGAGAGGAGGTGGACCTCACCGAGCGAGTTCGAAGAAGCGTGCATCATCGAGTCGTCGGGAAGAGGGAATAAAGAAGGAATGGAACATCGGCGGCTCCCTCCAGCGATTCCCCGCTTACGCCTAAAAAAACTCCAGCGGGGTCGGCTCTCTCTTTTTTTTCTGTACTGACTGAGCGACATCCATGATATCCGATGATAGGACCGTGCCGCTCTGCGGACCACCGTTGGCAACTCGGTCCGGCAAGGTTAAGCACCTTCGACAGAGGTTCCATTGTTTACCCCGACGCCGGAGACCCCACGATTCCCCGGGCAAGACTTCCTCTCATTCCTTGGAGAGCCATCGTCGAAGTGCTACAGACCTCAAAGAGGTTGTGTTGATTAGCACAATCCGTTTCATGATCGAGAAGCGATGCCCTCTCGCCGACAATAGATAAGCTTCAATCTGTAGTTCCGTGTTCCTTACAGTTACTCCCAGCTCTCACTGAGTCTAGCTTCGGCGGCGTCCTCACTCGATGTAGCGGGCTACCTTCGGTACACATCTTTCCGCCGCTGATCGGGAAGCGATCGTTGCTCAAATGATCTCAAACATTTGAATTGAAAGTTCGACTGGCCGAGGCCGAAACTCGACTGGTCATAAACGCTTTGATTGAGTTTAGGTGGAGTTGCGTGACGAAATCGTATCATCCCGCCAGCTCGCTCGGTTGCCGAATCGAAGAAATAAGTTAGCCTGCCTGCCCGCTCGCCCGCTAGCCGACCCATTCGCCTTGCTGAGTTTTGCTGCTTGTATCATTCGAGGCGTATTAGGCGGCCAGAGTGTTCGCTGTGGGAAAAATTTGCGATTCTTCACGCTTACAGGCCAAAAGAACTCTATTAGTTCTGGGTTTAGAGGCGAAGAAATCGTTGATTGACAAAAATGAATCGGCCCGCCTCCGACACTGAATCAGGAATTCATGATCGTCGTCGTGCCATCGCCGGCTTCTTTCTCTTCGGCACTCAAAGTCAGTGGGTCGAGTGCGTGTATTGGTGGGCTATCAGCTGCAACGGCGGCGGCAAGCAATAGTGGTTGAATCATGAAAGCGGAAACATTTTCGAGCCATCGAGACGAGAGCTTCACGTCGAATGCGTGCCGCACGTGGCGCTTGTGGTCACAGGAGAGCGCTCGGCAACGCCTCATCGATTCCTTCTGAGCGACCGAGCGGGCCGGCCGGCCAGCCACGGACGGACCGACGGCAAACTGACTGACTGATGGTCCGACTATCGGGGCTACGATAGTCACCACGGCATGACGAGCATCGATACGAGGGGAAATCTCATCCTCGATTTCTAGAGCACCGTATCTCGCCCGCTGCAATCACTGCGCGATATTTCGCTGGTCGAACATCGAGTTTCCGTTGCCGAAAAAAAACGTCCCTGAAGGAACCATATCGACCAAATACGAAAACAGTGCATCCGCGGGGATATATCGAAAAATCCCGAGCGAGCGCGTTCCCTGCCCGCTGCCGAACTCGGACGAGAGCCGCGACCTCTCAGACGCATCATCACGTCAGAGATGAGAACCCGTCGAGCTGTCGACTTCGTTTTGCTAGCAAAGTTGAAGAGGTGCAATTTGGGCCAAATTGTATCCGATTTTGGCGCGTAGTACTATTTGCCCTCGGAAATGTCTCTCCGGTGCGGCTCACGATTGCAGAGGACATGTTTGCGCGTCACTCAATGTCACATTGATGTTCTGATCCACACAATTCGAGGGTCTGATTCACTAGGTACACTCGGTCGTCCGCGCATCGAGCGACCGAGTGCGCACATCCTCGTCTCTGGTTGGTTTAGTTTACTCAGAGAGCCCGGATTGGTTTCAACGACGAGGACGACGACGCACTGGGGGATCCCTCGATTCACAAACCCGGCTCCACGCACACATCTGAAGTCATGTATGCTCGAAGTTTAATGAATTAACGAATCGGGAACGACTGGCCGAAATTCTCAGAATGCGATATTTGCAACGGATGCCGAGTTGAGGATCTCGGTTCGGACAGGACCGAATTCGAATTCGCCCTTACGATCTCTGTGACAGTCGATCATGGAGAGAGATAATTTTGTGATTCCGGCTCCAATATTGCATGACGACGAACGCGGTGGCGAATGCTCGATGGGGATCTTCCTCGCAAGCGCTGATGCTGCGGCTGTGATGGCGCGCGGCTAAATCGGATATATTTGCGTAAGAGCCTTAGCTCTCACTTCCTCCTTGAGTTTCGGGGCGGGAGCTTTTGATGTATTTATACAATACGATTCGCTTCTCAGCCATGCGAACGAGCAAGCACCTAGCCGACTGGATGAGCTACGGGCACAGCCAGCCACGGACTCTGCTCCTTCAACAGCCTCTCGAAGTCGAAGGGTTGAAAAGCCTCTTCAGCGAAGGCTTGCGCTTTTGGGGAAAAGGCAAACCGGTCGACAACATCATTAATCGACGATGATGAAAACAGCCGCTTTACGGCGCACCGTGGAGTTTCGAGGGTGATCGAGATCCCGAAATTTTCGTCCGCTTACTGCTGGGCGAAGTCCAAAAGAGGAGCTCGCTCGATGCGACCCGTCCTTTTATTCGTCTGTTCGAAGAGACTCGTTCGCTACTCATCTCATAGAAGAAACACGGGGAGGTCGTCGTCGAACGAACGGGGAAGCCGCATCGAGAAGAGGAGCGATCGGGGGGAGGGCTCGTGCTCAGGAGATTCTCTCGTGAATTTTTCACCTTCTCTTTCAAAGCCCGTATCCGCTAGGCCAAGTTCGTGTGATGGCTCAATTCTGATCACCGTGACATCCTGCACCGTGACATCCTTGCTCCCTACTCGCTCGTTCGCTCCCTCCCGTTCTCGCCTGTCCGCTAGCTCGCTAACTGGAGCACTAGAAAGGCTGAGAATAGGTGGTTCTCCTTCCCTGATGGTAATTTCCTCCACTTGACAAGCGCGCGCCTCCCGTAAGAATACCTTACTCGGCACCGAGTCGTTTCTCTCGGAGCGTAGTCCGTTGGCCCGCCCGAGGAACCGCCGAGGATTCCTCCCGCGTTCTTTCGTCGGAAGCGGTGTCCGCTTTGGGCAGGAATCGTGATCGAGGACGACTTTGTTTGCTGGTCACTTGTAGCCCCAGATGGTCCTCGATTAGAACCCTCCCCAGGGTCTGATTCGCTCGATCCTGCTGACGACGAGCGCCTTGGACGATGTCGTCCCGACGTCAGAAGTGAGCCGACGGAATTCCCTCGAACATTGTATGTAGCTTCCCGGAGATTCTCGAGATAGTGACGCTGTGTGCTTTAGATGAATGTACATAATATGAACACACATCTCGGGAAGACTTCTTTCGTCCTGACGGCAGGTATTGCCCGGAGGAGGGAATCGAGCCGAGAGAATCTAAGTTTGAGTCAGCGGTGCGTTGGCTTCCGTATGTTTGCATGCGAGAGTGCCCGGCTCGAGGTGGAAGCATCGATCGCATTTTGCTCCAAAATGCGACGATTCTGCGGCTGCTACCGGTGCGTAAAAGCAAAGTGATCAATTAGACAATCTCGACAGCCATCCTTCGATCACTAATGCAAGGGGTGGGACTTCGTGTGATCGACCTCGCTGTCCCGCAAACTGAGAGTAGAACGGCGACGTGGACGTCGCAGTCGTCGAAAGCGAGGAGCGTTTTTTTCTATCCGAGGAAGTGCAAACACGGTCGTCGCATAAATCTTCTGAAAAGCGTTCCGAGGTCGATGCCTCGCTACCTGTCGAAGTGAGGACGAGAGCTTCAGAGAACGCACCGGAGCTTAAATAAGAGTCCACACGCACGAGAGACATTATTATTTGAGCTAGCTTCGATTGAACGATTGACAAACAGCCGTCCCACGGCAAACGTCTTTCGAATTAAAGCAAACCCAACAATGGTCCGATGATGGGAACGATCGATGAATTCCTTACGATAGTTTGTTCGTGTCGCATCGCGCGCGACAGAGCCAATGTGTTTGCTCGATGCTCCTTCGCGATCTGAATCGATTGCGGCTCGGGACTTCAAGAGAACTCCGCAGCGAGCTCCGAGAAGGAATATATTTTCCGAAAAGGAGAAAAATTCATCGGAAATACGCCGCGCCGTCCACCCGTTTACTCACTCACTCAGAACGGTGACTTGTCACCTATGAGCCGGACGATTAGCTCCGTTTGGGCTGGGCTCTCGAACGGATAGATCCGGGACTGATTAGAGGCAGCAGCCGACAGTGTTCACGTGAATTAGATGGGCGGCTTTTGAGGGAGTCGGCGGTGTCGATGACTTCGGAAGCACCTTGTCTGGTGCCCGGACCCTGACGAGGGATACGCCCTTCGAGTGGTGTTGACGGTGTTGCAGCCGCTGCTGGAACAGGGCCCACTGTGCGAACCCCACCCTCACAGATGGTTGCGGATGAAGTAGATAGTTCATCCCTTTCGAACAGGGGGGCCCAACTAGACCTCATCTGTCGCTCAAGTTCATAACAAATGCTGCTGCTGACGCTCTTGTCGAGAGCAGAACTAGCAACAGCAGCAGTCTCTGAGAACGAACCGCGCACCGGTCGCTGTTCTGTACCGAGCGATCGACTGACCAAACGAGTGACCGACCGACTGGATGACGGTCTGACGGTCATGGCAAACGATGCATCCTTGCTATGCATTCACTCCACTCTCGCTTGGGTGCGCTCGGGGCTCGGAAGGGCGGTGTTAACGAGCGAGGGAACAGCAAACATATGAGTTTTCATCATGGGCTCATGGTTCCCGATTAGAGAGAAACCGTCCCTTTAATGTGGGAGAGGAGTCGGATCATCCCATCGGCCAGCTCCCGAAGCTGTATGTAGACGTTTATCCTCGTTCAATCTCGCCACCGGGTCACAAGACGGGGAACCTTGATTGAGATCGTTGCCGGGACAATTATCCGAAACTTGCTCAGCGCTTCGTTCTGAAATCGATATTCGAAAGCCGAAGTCCGAAAAAGCTCGAGGCCGTGATTGCCTAGAAAGTGGGTCATCGAGTCCGACCTGGATCTTTTCTCAGAATCCGCGAGAACTGTCGTTATTTGTCGGCGAATTGTACGGTCGTCCGTAGGTCGCCGGAAGAAGAGATCGTCTCCACGTGAAGTGCACGCTTGTGCTTACTCAAACGATGCCGGATCGCGCTCATCGCGCAACACAGAGGTTATCTATTTTGTCTCCATTATCAGTTCGGGGTGTCTAGTAGAATAGATAACGATGGCAATGCGTTCCGGCGGCTGATGTATCGTCTTCGATAGTCGCCGTAAAGCCCGATAGCTGTCCGTCTGGCTGTTTCTTCTGCTCGCCGAGCAGTCCGACTCGTGAGTGGCTAGGGGGCAAATTCGAATCACAGAAAGAGAAAAAAAAACGGCCTCCTCGGATAGACAGTTCTGCGTTCGGTAATCCCGGGTGTTCGATGGTGTCGGTGATCTACCCTGATCCCATCATCCTTCAAAGCGCCACCTCAGAACGGGCCGATCAAGAGTGCGGAGCCATGCCATGGCCAGTTTGTTGAACATCGATGGCTCCTGCGGCTGTCCACTGACCATCATCCTCGGTTCTCACAATTCCGCTGTCTAGACGACGGACCGACAAACAGATATCCTCCTAAAGAATCTGCTACAAGCTCACAACCTGCAATTTTGTTCCATCCTCGTCTATATGGCGTGTATGAAGGGGAGCGTGGGATGTATGTCTCTGGTCTGCTGCTCTGTTGGCACTGCTCTGTGCTCGGCGGACAAGCGACCGACCGGCGGGCCGGACGGCCGGCCAGCCAGCCGAGCAGCCAGTCAGTCGACGGGCCGAACAGCCGGTAATTGAATCCTGTCTCTGGGCTCGCTGTATTCCCTAACAGTGTATAGGCGATGCAGGGGCGAGACGGGGGTCTTGGGGTTGGGGAACTCTAGTACGGTTCGCTCCCGTGGGGTCGCGATTCGCACTCGAGCACTTGTGGGTCACAAAGCAGGCGATGCCTCTCTGGCTGGTGAACGTTCCGCTAGTCGCCTGTTCTGGTGTCCAGACATTCCGAGACCCTGGAGCCACCGGGTCCCGACGTGGTCTGATAAGGAACCGGAAACATGAAACTTGAAGCATATCGATTGGGGAATGGGCTTCCTGGAACGGGAATGAAATATTCGATGGAAGTTCAATGATTTCCGTTTCGATTCCAGGACGGCCGTCAGCTGAGCCTAGGAGCCCTGCGTGGAGTGCCGATGGTTGCAACATCTCCCGTTCGCCACGAGCCCGGCCAGGGCCAACTGAGTCAGGCGCTAGATATCCAGGCGTATCAAGCGCCCTGGAAGACGCTCTCGGAGTACGCGATCAGTCATCCGGACTCTGACCTCGACCCTAATAGCCCGCAGTTTCGACAACTTGTTAATCAGGTGAGTCTAGGGACGGCATTCAACTTCAGAGGGACCGTCAAGGAAATCCTTCATCTCCTTAGCGCAGGATACACGATCCCAGCATAGTTGAATAGTTATATCATGTTTCTAGTGTAGGTTCTAGAAGGTGGGCGGCTAGTTGATGCGATATGTCGGGGGACGGATTCCGAGTATGCGGTTCCGATCATCTGAGTGCCACGAAGTCAATGAATTTCTCAGCAGCTCCTTCGTAGACTTTACGACTCTCGTCATCGTCGGTCTGTTAGCTTACTCTGGTCTCTTACCCTACCTACTGCCTGCGTGGTCTGCGCGTCTATCCATCGGTTTTCTCCCGAGCCGGCTAGTTGGTCGAACGGTCGTCTCTTCTGTTTCCTCAGAGGTATAACAGCAAACAGGCGAACACCAGGCTCGAGGCAGTCGGGTAACAGGAGCGAGCGAGCGAGCCGGCTCCCCGAGAGGTTCTACATATATAAAATCATGGGCCCTGATCCATAATTCAGGCCACGCACAACCAACTCGATTATGATGGCCGATCTTCGCTGAGTTCCCCGTTCCCTACAATAGAAATTCGAAGTCGCGACTTTTCCATACGAAGATACCTTCGCGGGCCCCGAGGAAAAATACGAATCCCGCTTGAGCCAGTTGAACTAGAGCGCATCATAGCTGTATTCCTCGAGATTTTCGATTGGTCTATAAACCCGGTACGAGCATGGAGCGTCTGCCGGACTCCGCTCTCCAGAGGAGCTCCGTGATCAAAGGTTTGAGGGCAATGTTGACACGGACAAACTCGAGCTCGCCTTGTGGAAAGTGCCGCAGCCTTTGATTCTTTGCGATCTCTCGAATCCCCACTCGGTTCCTATTCGACACTGCTGCGATCACAACTCGCGGCTTCGACCCCTTGATTCTCCTCTTCCTCATGTTTCCCCTGCTCCCCCGCCCCAAACTCCCCCTCTTTATTTGGTGAATCAGGGATAAATCACCTTAATTTGATTTGGAGCGGCAGAGCTCTTGACTCCCTGTGTTTGCACACTGACTCCGAGTTGTCGAGGGACGGATGATATTTACCAGTGAAGAGCTAGCTGAATGAGAATCGCGTATAATTCAGTGATTCGAGGTCGTCGGAGAGTTCGCAAACATGGCGAAGGGAGAGTCTTTGTGACGAAGCATCGAATTCGAAGACATGAGGTTTTCGGGCTTATTCGCTAATTTGTTTGTTACTTGGGTTGACTTATTTTTTCGAGTCTCTCTCTCATCAGTGCCGCAACCAATACCGCGACCGCTCGGGCTTATCTAAGGCCTCCCGAACCTCAAACTATGCCAGCTAGTCGGCGTTCTTTATTCCCTACTCCGACTGGCGGGCGTAGGCCTCAGTTTTATTGGGGTTCGGTTACGCACAAATTTTTCATTTGTTCGTCTCCGTCTGATGCTCCACTCGTTTCTGTTTCTTTGCGCAATCCGCTCATGCGGACGTGTATTCGTGTTTTCATCGATCGCGCCGTAGAACGTTCCGAGCCGCTGTCTTCCTGGCACCGAGGGCTTCGATTTCTCCGTGGAATGCCAAGATTTGTGAAAATATTCCGAAATTCTTCGCATATCTAGACGCTGAATCGCCGCGTTTTCGAACCTTACACAATATCTCGGCTTCGTGAATCCGTTCCATTCTATGGCAGGCGCTACGAGCAATTTGGTCGCGTATCCGTTAGCTGCATGTCAAATCTGAAGACATCAAGCCAGGTATGATACGGTCGTTCCCCGGTGTCAAACCAGACTCTTATCTGACAACGAGCAGGTGTGAGAGATTTCCTCTTCAATTTACCGGTTTATCGAACTTCTACCAGGGAGAGCTCCTGTGGGATCAGCCACAGACCACGGATGACCGTGTCCAGTCTTGAGATGGCTCCGCGTGCTTCAAGCCATAGAGACTTGAGCCAGAAGGCAGAAGATGGTTTTCGGTTAGAATAAATGGCATCAGAGTATCTCGGAAGCACAGCCGTGTTCGGTCCTGCCCCGATTCCTCATTTCGCCCACTCGAAAGAGAGCATCCGAGGTTTGCATAAGACTCGAGCGGCCGAACAGGGTTTGAAGAGAAGGTCGTCCTTCTGCTGGTTGGTCGTAGCTATCAGCGCGCTCAATTGTAAAATACACAACGTCGACAGCGACGATGAAGACGAGTGGCCGAGAAGTTTATACGAAGCGCTCCCGTCTCAGCGTCGGAATCAGTGTCCACCAAGCGGAGCAAAGAACAGCGCAGTCATCAGCCCGAGGCTTCCGTTTTAATGTTTTATTTTTTTCCTCCCTATTCGTCTCTTCTTTCGAAGCTCCTTCCTCTCCTCTTTTATATCTCAAGACTCTATTCCAACTTTTATGACGAAATGTCATCCCTTGGCGTCGCAGCCGATAAGTTTTCTCCCGCTCCGTTTTGACTTAGGGTCTCGCTTTTTTCGGCGAAGACGTCGAGCTTGTCCCTCGGTGGATTTTCGGTTCTCCCTGTTGAATCGGCATTCGCGGCAACGACGTTCCCATTCGAGTTGTGCGAGGTAGACTCCCGAACGATTTGTTTATGAATTCTTTCATTGAAGGCTGTGACGTCGGCGCAATAAGATCGGGATGTCTTGAATGAAAACTAGAATCTGTTTATACAGACCGGTTCAGGTCCCTTATCTTTTCCCCCGTAGCTTCAGCGTGCGCAGAAAGGAAAGGAACACGCTTGGCTCGGCGACAAGCGACGGAATCGAGCGGGTCTCGAGAAGCCGCTATTGGTGCGAATAAAATTATCGCGCGATCGTATCACTGAAGGAGCGCTTCTTTGGTGCGGTGCCGGTCGTGAACATTTATGCGACAGCCGAAAACGCTCCGGAAGGCGAGCGAATCCTCTAAATCTCTGAACCAGACCCGAGTGCGCTAGCAATGTCCGAAGCCTTCGGAGTGGGTCTCATTCCCGATCATCACGACGTGTTCCTGCCTGAGAATGACCGTTGGTGGATACAGATTCGCCAATCGCAGCCATAGCCTGAGAAATGTGGTCAAGCTCGTTCGGAATACGTCTGAGAACACCAGAGCGGCTGAGTAATTAATTAGGCATGCACATGAGCGGAGCGGTTGGACCCTCTATTCACGGGAGTTTTTCAGGAGCCGATCCACTCTCCATTTCTATATGTGTTTGCGAGTTATCCTCCGGTGATGAGGTGGAGTCTTTTGATGACTCACGAGTCATGTACTACAGCAGAGACATGGGCTGATTAGACTGCTCGGCTGACTGACTGACTGCCCGCCAGCAGCAAGCCTGACTGTGGGCAGTCAACTCGCTACCGCAATAGCAGTTTGATATTTGGGAACTCATTACTGCCTCAAGATTGCCGTTCTCGACTGATCGATGGTCGAGTTACCTCGCGAGCCGTCGCAGAGCTCATGAACGGCTCTGTCCCGGGACAGAGAAGACCATGGCATCCTCGAGCGGGATCACAAACTCCATCCAGCTCTTCAATGGCCTTGATACTGCAGAAGCGTTGACCGCTGAGACTGATTCGGCGATATTGTGACTGTTCCGTAACACTATTCCGGCTATTGCGAATTAGCGCTGAATTTCAGTCTGAGGCCCACGCACAATGAACGAACCGAGGAAAAATCCCTTATTCGGAATTCTGACTTTCAGAAATGAAGTTTTTCAGTTTCTTACAGTACTAGATCCGACCACTTCAGTCTGCTGACGCGGCAGCCGTAGCATCGTGTGCGTGGATGGCTACGAGAAATTAGATAGGGAGAAAGTTTGTGTGTGTGTCGCATCTTGAAGGAAGGTCTGGTGGACAGTCGAGTCTTATCATTTATTTATTGCTAGCTGCGACCCGATCGAGTAGCGTCCCCTTCTGGCTGGTCCGCTGGTCGTCTATCTTTGCCCGTTGAAACTCGGATCGAGCCCCTTGACAAAAGCAAGTTTTCTCGTTTTATCGGCTGATTTATTCGACTTTTTACAAATTCGGCTCCGAGTGAGAATCCACTATTGAGCTCGTCGACTGCCCAATGAAGATACGCTTCCACACGGCAACCGGCCGGGAGTCCTGTCGCCTTGGATCTACCCGCTTCACGCCGAGCTGGAGTACGCTGACTGCGGTGTTGATAGTTGTCGTGGAGTGACGGCCCACATCCGTGTTTGTCTCTTCTTTGAGAGATTTTTCTGCATTCTCTGGTGCCAAGGTCGCGACGCCTCTCGTCGACGCTGTCGAGCACTACCTCGCTCTCGGGCGTAGGCATATTCATTAGGCTACCTTATTTCGGATAACTCATCACTGTTATTCTAAGGGTTCTCTTTTCTTTCCAGATGCATGGCTATGATCCCTCTGGCCCCGTGGCGATGCCCCTGGAACCAAGCCACACGTACCTGGGCGGCTTGGATGATTCCAACTGCCAAATGCCTCCCCGGTCCCCTTCTGAGATGTCCTCGGCCGCGAGCGATTAGCTGTGACGTTTCCATTAGTTTATCCCGACCTCAAGCCCCCTCATACTCTCTTCTGTTGAACTCATTCCCTCATGTCCTACTCTTCCCAAATGTCGCATTTCCTAGTCCTCTCGATTTTTGCTCGTCACGTCAACATTTACTTTCGGTTACCAATCCCTCCCAAACCCTCCCCTAGTCCAACATCACCGGGGAGCTCTGGCCGAAACCAAGACGATGGAGATATTATGAGACGAGAATCGAATCGAATAAAAGCTATCTGTGATCCGAGACTGGCGGCTGCCGAATGGGGCAATCGCAGGCGTCGAAGAGTTGGAACCCGTTCTGGAGCTTCGTTTCGATGAGCAACGTCCAGCAGGAGAACTGTTTCATCACCAGCGACAATGAGAACGACCGCGAAGAGCGAATCCGTTCATTGTCTTTGTCTACAGAGACAGGAGCGCGCGTGAATTCGTGTGGAACGATGGTAGGACCTGTCGAACATTGCTTCGGCATCAGGGGAGGAAGAGATTGTAAAACTCTATCATTCATGCAAAAATTAGCTGCGGGAGCAGCTGCAATAGATGTAGACGCAGGGAAGCAAATCGAATGCAGCGTTGAGGACTGTGGAAAGATCTCCTCGGTAGAGGGCTCGATCAAGACGATCCAGAGGGCGAGCAGAGCGAGCATTGAAATTTAGGGTTTCTACCAACAATGTACTTAATATATTGTAATCTAGATAGTGGACAAGTCTGCCGACCACTGTGGATACCCCATACCAAGCTAGCCGAATCGCTTGGTCGATGTCGGGCAGTTTTTTTTCACACGTCATTTCCGCTCTCCGAACCAGCCACACAACTCATTCACCACCAGCACCGATGAGTGAGCCACTTCGCCACTATAGGATAATTTTCTCTCCACGGAGAACACGCGGGAGCGTCAGCTCCCCGGGTCTGACTGCTCGGATCGGTGAAGATCGTGACCTCGTCTTGATCTATCAGACGTTCTCGAACAAGAACTGCTCTCATATGTAAATAGGCTCGTCGACTTCTAACTTGTAAGGCTTAAAATTCTTGAGCCACTGCATTTTGTGTATATAGGTCGAGCGAAGCGGCAGCCGGTTGATAGAGGTGAAGACGATAACGACGATAATGACAGAGTGAACTTTCGACGAATGACAATAGCAGAACAGAACCTCGAGCCTCGTGAAGCCGTCCGAACCCCGAAGAAAAAGGGAAGAACTAATAACTTACGGCTGAACATGTGGTTTTCCGTCTCGATTCTTAGTCGTTGTTTCAAATGTGCGCGAACGAGAGATAATCTTGGATAAAGACGGAAACAGCACGGCGCAGTCTTTGTTGAAGCGGGTTGGACAAAGGGTCACATTGAAGGAAAGTCAACAGCGACCTCGCGAAGGGCACCTGGATTTCGTTTGAGATTGAACCGTTCAGAATCACACAGACTGGTATCGTCTCGTCATTGGAAGTTGAACGGCCCCAAATAAACCCCAAATAGAGCGATTTGATAATTGAAGGATTCACGGATCCCTCGACAAATGTATGAATGTGACCAGCTGGTTGATCGACCCGAGGGTCGACTGGTCGTTTCGTCGCCCGCTCGGTCGGTCGAACCGACTGACTGACGGGAGAACGGCGTGAGAGTTCACGCAGGCGGAATGGAGGAAGAGCCCAAGAGTGCATTTTATTCTAAGCTAAATGGTAGATCAGATGACGACGTCGGCACCAGATAACACGGGGCATCGATTAAGCCCCCGTTCAATACAAGACTCGACGACATTTGGCAAACATAATAAATAAAGTGATTGTGGTTTTTCGAGGAATCTACAATCTCGTCAGTTTAGGGCTCTCGCTATCGTTCTTTTGGAGGAGATTCCCGACCGGAAAGGATGATGAGTCTGATCAATCTCGCATGTCTCAACAACCTTACGTCCTCTGTTGGTTCAGGATTCTTCACCTGCTGCTCTTGTCGGAGTCGCGCACTCCAGCGAGCTTTGCCTGTATTCGAGATCATGCCAACCTATTTGCCTGTCTGCACCATTTGGGCATTGCACCTATGGTCCCACCTATACTCAACTATCTTCGAGTGTGTAGCGAGAGGCAAGTTGTCCGAGGTTGTTGCAGGAGGGCTCCATCCGCGGTTGTTCAGTCGAAACACGCTCGTTCCTCAACGAACTATCCCCGGTATTCCTCGTCCCGCGCGGCCACCTCAGCTGTCCATCAGATTCCCATCAGAGTTCGGCCAGCAGGCTGGGACGAGGAGGGAAGTCGCTAGCTCGCTCGGTCGCTCCTTCTCTTGGGGGTTGTTCGTTCAACTCGACTCGAGCTACGAGGGGTTTGATGTTTGTACATGCAAAATGCATTTAGTGAAATCTTGCACAGATTAAAGGGGATAGCCCGAGTGGCTGAGTGGTCCACCGAGATACGAGTCTACAGTCAGCAGCTGGGCCATTTTGACAAACAAATTTCGGGTTGCTACTCGGTCCTCCGATCGCGTTCGAGATCTCGAATAGAAGAAAAACACTCACGGAACTCGGGGTGGGTACGTCGAGATTTGTGGAGCTCCTAATTAGCATGATGATCAGAATGCGACAGCCCCATAGAAACGATCGGCCACAGGTTTCCCCATTATCATTCACCAATTCATCACTCCGAATACCACGTTCTCCACCAACCTTGGACCTGCGGGATTCGGTCCGGGTGAGTGACGTCATCAACCCATGGAGCACTTTACGTGAACTTTCGTCTACTTCGATCGTCGTCGATCGACTCCGGCTGGCTCTGATTGATCGAGCTTCTTCAGAATACCAACTGAAAACTCGAACTGAGGTTTCGAGTCCCCATCGAGTCCGAACGCTCCGAAAAAAGCTCCTCCGCTCCGTGATCGGCCTCGTCGCCCACGGTTCCTCCGGGATCCTGAGCGGACGAAAAAAGAAAAATCATCGTGACTGGAAATCCATTAGGCTCCGGGGACCAGTAATCTATTCATTCGAGAGCCGATGGTGATGTTGTTCTAAAGAGGTCTACGCCCCCTTTCAGAGCTCAAAGTTGTCAATGAGATTCCCTGCTTTGAACTGCTGCCTGTTTTCCATCGGCGAGAGCGACTCCCCCTCATTCGCCGCCCCACACCGGCCAACTTGGTGCAGTGTAAGGCAATAATTTGATAAGAGATGAGCCTTGTCGAGAGTGTACAACAGAGTGCCGGCGAGTTTGCCATATCCCGCCGCCATGCAGCCCGAGGTGCACCTGGTGGGCGTGCCGAATATTGTAGTCCATAGTCGATCTTTGTGCCAGCTTGCCCGCCTCGCTGGGCTTGCTTACACGCTGAGATAGACGCTCGGAGTGGAAAGGCGTCGAGTTTTGGCATGATGAACCTGTTAATAAACTCGAAAGCCATCGTGCGCACGGTGGCGAACTCGACATGCCGACAGAAATTATTCATCATATAATCTTCGACGCCTCGAATTGACTCATTGCTGGATCGTATTCACACTGTAAGCAGCGATCGTGAATTTCTGGACCACGGCTTCCGGCCGGGACCGGATTGCATCAGACTGTGGTTCTCAGCTTTCCTGGCTTCGAGAACGCGGAGGTGAATTCGGCAGGCTGAGAACAGTAGTCCATGCCTACCTTTCAGAGGGTTCTCTATGTGGTCTGTGTTAGATGCGTTTGTAGATAGGTTGGGATGTTTTCGGCGTCCTCGAGACGAGGCTCCGGATTATCCCAACCGATTGCAGGAGAATCGGGCTCATTGATTCGTCAGAAAAGGGAGTGTGCTTGAATCAGATTGAGTGACGATACAGATATCGAACTGTACATAGATGGTGAGCTATTTTTCCAGGCTCCTCTCGGACTCAGACTTCCCCATGCTGCAAGTCTCCCGGAACCTATTCGCTCCAGCTTCTCCCAGTAGAATCTCGGACACAAGTTCTTCTCAATGAGCTACTGAATGACTAAGCGCTAATGCTGCGGGCGCCATGTGAAGCAGGGACCGGCAGCGAAGCCACCTGCTAAATGGCCTGGCTGGTCGTCGCTGTCCGCGGTATCCGCTTCACTGGAGGGGTCGTTCCCTCCCTTGCACTCATCGTCGTCGTTTCCTGCTCCAATCTCGCCCTCATACGTGTTTAATCAAATTGACTTCAGCAGATGGGAGTCCTAGCTGAGGAACGCGATTGGTGCAAGCGGGAACAATCATCAGACAGCGAAGAAATCTCTCAATCTTTCATTCCGCTGCGTAAAACTCCTCCATACCGCTCGGCGACACCCGCGATCACACACCAGCTGATTTTTCGCACTCATCCGACCGTATCCATCCATCTGGCCGTCGACGTATTCACTTAGCTATCCGACCGTGCATCCATCGGCGCGTGGGTCTACTTACGCAAGGTAAATCGCGATTCGCGCACCGAGCCCACTCGAAAACTTCAGCGGCTTCATAGCCCGGAGAGGCATCGTTTGGAACACGTTGTTTCTGGGATTGCAGAAGAATATACAGAGCTAGAATCCGATGTTTCGATTTCTTAATCTTTCCCCATCTAGAGTTCCTCATTGATTTAAGAGACTCCTCCCGCTGCACCCGTCCGGGCCTGGATGCTGTCGTGCAGGAGCCGCTGTAGCTGAGCGTACTCGCATCGAGTGAGTGGAGTTCTTAAAAATGTGCAAATAGTATCGAGTTTCGAACCTGCGATTATTCGGAGACAGATGTCAATCTTGTCAAGCGCTAATCCGAACAACGGATATCGGGTTTCATCATATTCGACCCACATCAGGTGGTCTTTTGTACCACGCGATGCACCGCTTCCTTTTCCTCCTATCGCTTCTTCCAGACCTTCTAGATGCTGCTCCCAAGTCTTCTTCCCCCTAATAAGAATTCGTTAATCCCATTGTAGCAGGTGGCCCAGGCTGCCGCTGCCCGGGAGAGGAATGAATGAGCAGCGGAGATTGAGCAGGATAAGTGGAGCAGCAGGAGAAGCAAGGGTATTTGATTCGCTAGACTTCACTCGAGTT